GGGGAAACCAAGAGGTCGCCGCAGCCGCCACATTCCCGCCCGCCACCCTACGCATGCGCAGCCAGGACCAATCAGCGCTGAGGACGGGGCGCGGCTTTTCCCAGCGTGCCCTTCTGCTTCCGGGGTCGCGCCCCCGTTGCTATGCGACGAGGCGGGCCGAGGCCTTCACGGGAGCGGGCCCGAGCCCAGGCCAGGTCCCTGCGGTCCCCGAGGCGTGAACTCGGGGAGTTATCGCTCTCCTCACCTCCGCCGTGCCTCTACCGGTACACAAACGTTGTTTATTTACGTTCTAACAGTCCCCGGCGTTTCTCGGTTCCGCTCTCTGCCTCAGCGGCCCTTTGAAGTTGTTTGCAGCGTTACGCGGGGTTAAAAAGCTGATAAAATAATTCAGGAGGCCTGTAAACTGCGTGCTGGCTAAAGGCTTCTGAGCTGATCCCCCAGAGCTGCGCCGGGTTAAGAGAAGAGCACAACCTAGAACATCGTGGTTTTATTTTATCACTAATGGCTCTTTTTGAAAGCTGCCTATTAAACAATGACATCATCTGCCCCAGACTTTGAGCTCTGGATGCTTCTCTGAATTAATTGCTGTTTAGTAATCATAAGGGAAGTGGGTGTTTCTGCTGTGATGTGTATATCTATTCTCATTAGATATAGATGAACACGGAAAGTGTTGCAGTAGCACTGGCATCGCTTAGCCAATATGCAAGGTGGATTTCCTCGCCTCTATTTACTCTTGCTAATCAGTGCCTAGAAACTCAAGCTAATAACATGCTCCTAGCCTCACAGTTTTTTTATAAACACACAGAGAAACCTCAGGGGCCCAAACGAAACATATTAATGCCGAGTAGAGTGTGGAACCAGAACTTGTCCTTGCTGTTGTGTCACAGCAGCTGGGTGCAAAGAGGTTAGAAAGGACATTCCGAGGACTTGTCAGCGTGAGGTTAGTGGTTGGACTCGATGATCTTAGAGGTGTTTTCCAGTCGAGGCCATTCTGTGTTTGTGCTCACGTGTCTCGGTGTGGAATCGTAACATGGGTTACAACTGCTGTGCAAGTGTGATCTAGATGAGGGGATGGTGAGGTGGGCTGAGTGGCTCAGAGGGTTGTGAACAGTAGCACAGAGTCTGGTTGGAAGCCCATGGCTAGTGGTATACCTCAGGGTCAGTACTGGGTCCAGTCTTGTTCAACATACTCATCAATGACCTGGCTGAAGGGACTGAGTGCACCCTCAGCCAGTTTGCTGACGATACAAAACTGGGAGGAATGGCTGTTAAACCAGAAGGCTGTGCTGCCATTCAGTGAGATCTGGACAGGCTGGAGAGCTGGGTGGAGAAGGCAAGTGTAGAGTCCTGTACCTGGGGAGGGACAACCCCAGGCACCAGTACAGGTTGGGGGCTGGCCTGCTGGAAAGCAACTCTGCAGAGAAGGACCTGGAAGTCTTGGTGAACAGCAAGTTAACCGTGAGCCAGCAGTGTGCCCTCATGGCCAACAAAGCCAATGGTCTCTTGGGTTGCATTAAGAAGAGTGTTGCCAGCAGGTCGAGGGAAGTTCTCCTCTCTCTCTGCTGTGCCCTAGTGAGACCACATCTGGAGTGCTGTGTCCAGTTCTGGGCTCCCCAGTTCAAGAAAGCCCAGGAACTACTGGAGAGAGTCCAGGGGAGGACTACAAAGATGATGAGGGGACTGGAGCATCTCTCTGATGAGGAATTGCTGAGAGAGCTGGGTCTGTTAGTCAAGTGTCTTTGTATTTCTGTGCTTGTAGAGTTTGATGGGAGCATGGAACCCTTCTCACCACCAGAACCAGGGTTTCCTGCAGAAAAGAGCTCATCTGTGTCACAGAAGAAAACCCGTGTCCTGGTGGGTGTGACTGGAAGTGTGGCTGCCCTGAAGCTGCCTCTCCTCATCGCCGAATTGCTCAAAATCCCGGTGGTGAGTAAATCTATTGGTAGGAGTCTTGTAAAGTTGGTGTTATCCTGTTTCTCATTTTGAGGAGAGATTTGATGGCTTCAAGTGAAATGAAAAGTTCTTTCTGGCCTTGAGTTCTTTAGTTTGAAAATTTATTAGGGTATTATTTATTATAATTATTTATTATCATCCTGTTTTTAAAAATCCATTAATACTTTTTCCTTTCATTTCATACTTCTTCATACTTAAGAGTTAACTTTATATCAGGTTTGAAGAGCAGTAACTGTTCCTGGATATTTCCATAGACAGAGGTTTAGATTCTGGAATATGAAAGTACTATTATTCAGCTCAGCTTGCTTCATTCTGTTAAAATGTATTAAATAGGAAATATTTTTCTGAAATACATTCTTGTCAATCATCAGATCTGTCTCCAGACACAGATGGATGCTTTCTGGAACTTGAAGTCTCTAATTGGGAACTTGCAGTTTTCCATAGATGAGCTGTGGAGTTTGCAGTCGGACACTGCTGTCTGACCACCAAAGGGAAACCAGGTCTTGTAGAAACAGAAATAGAAAATACAAGCCAATATAGATGTCTGTGCATTTTTTTTTCACTAGTTTATTATCTGGAGTAACAGAGGTGTCCGGCAGAGGCCACTAGTGACTAGAATCAGGGAGGGAAATGTGCTGCTCTTTTACTTTAGAAGAAAGTTAGAGGAAACCATAGAAACCTTTAGCTTTTAAGAAATGAAGCATCTGTTTTGGAGCAGTGAAATGAAAGTGGCAGGAACAAGAGGGTGCACTTACATATCCAGGTATATTGGTTAGATTACTGAATGGATATCGCTTTGGATGGGTTGGGAAGCTTTACCTCAGACCTGCAGACACATTAAAATAGAGTAAAAAGAGGTGCGATCTCTGAGGAACTCTAAACTCTGGTTGGTGTTGATATCAGAGCTGGAAAGGGTACAGAAGATGTGGTGAGCTGTTGGGCTGACGTTGTGGGTTGCAAAGAGGGAGGGCCTCAGTTAATTTATTGTGTGACCTGAAATGATTAGTAAGGCCAAAAGCCATAGCCTGCAGTACGAGGAACAAATGGAAATGATACCAAGGAAGGAGGGTGACCAGAGCAGAGCCAGGGATATGCATCTTCTAACTCTCTGTCTCTGGAACTGGCTTCCCTGTTGTCTCTTTTCCTTTGCTCTTGGTGCTTGGAACATCCTTCTTTGCAGTGACAGGGCAAAAGCAAATGATCTGCTGCAGGTCAAACACGTTCCTTCTCTCTGAGCATTTGGTTCATAATTAAACTGCAGAGGGTTGGACCTAAGTTCTCTGTGAAGGCCCAGAGGTTCTGTGACATCTGTTGCAGGCTTTGTGGCCACTGGTTTTAGGCTTTTGTTGTATAAAAAGTGAAAGTGAAGTATCCAGTCCAGGACCTTCTGGTACTTAATTTGTTAATTCAAGTGATGTGTTTACTCCTTTTTATGTGAGTTCAAGGCCTGATCTGAAGGCTACTGAGTCAGTGTGACTTTTCCATTGAGTTTGTTAAGTCCTGCACAGGTCTGTTTCATCAATTTCTTTACCGATGGAACAGAACTTTAAAAAGCCATCGATGGAAGCAGAGCAGGAGCAGAAGGCGTCTTTGATACCAGAGGAAATGCGGTCAGAGGCTTGAAATCACAGTGGCTTGTTTAAATTGCTGTTTTAGCTAAAACGATGCTGGGTGAACAACTTGGCAGTGTGATTTTGCACTCGTTAAACATCTCTTTGAGGGTGATGATGGGTATGACTACATCTTGCTGCCTTTTGTTTCACCTCTTTGAAGATCTAGGAAATTTCTATGGCTCCACCTTATACCTTTCAGGTTGTTACCCTTGCACCTGGTGTTGCGGGGAGACAGCGTGTGGTGTCACATCAGGACACTGTGGGTAACTCTGGTGATTGTCTCTAGACTCACACACCTTGTCTCAGACTGATTCCTAGGAAGTTTGAATGGCCTGGCAGGAATACGATGACAAAAATCACACTGGCAGGATATCAGTTGGTCATAAGGAAAGGCAATGACAGACTTTTCTATGGGTGAAACATGTTCCTCTTGAAGCTACAGGATGTCATCTGGACTTCTAGGTTTAAATCACATTGTCACGTCATTTCATTGTGCTCCTGCTGGATAATCTCTATGTCAGCTCATAGGTGCCATTTAACAGAGGAGCTGCTCGTTCTCTTCTGCAGCAGTTCTTACCAAAGCTTGGTCTGTCTGGAATGATTTTGCTGTCAAAGTGGGAAAGTTGTGAAAAAATTGTATGCATGCCCTTACCCTGAGCAAGATGGCTGTGACGGTAGAATCCTCTAGCAGAGACCAACACTGCGTGAACACAGTTTTGCCAGTAAAATTTGTTCTGGAGAACTGACCAAAATGGTCCAAATGAAAGAATTCTAATGAGTCTAAACTGTCTCCAGGAAAGGAGTTTGAGTGTGGCTAGACTTTACTGTTGAAGCAGAGAGATAACCACAGGCAAACAGAGGGTGTGCCAGGTAAATAGAAAGAAAAAAAACTATGTAGGCCAAAGTGATCTTGAGAACACTGATCTCTTTCCAACGTAGCTGGAGGGACTTGAAGGACTTGCTCAGAACAAGGGATCCAGGAGCCCACCCCAGCAGAAAACCTTAATTAGGGAGAATATTTAACTAACAGAGCAACTTTCTCGGGGGAGTGGTGGAGTCACCACCACTCAGAGTCCTTGAACATATCCCTCTGGTATGCTCTAGCTTGTAGTAGGTTGGATGCAGTACTCAATATCCAGCTGTTCTCTGTGTTGAAGAAATAAGTACTTTTTTAAGACTGGAGATGGTTATGAAGCTATCTTAGGAAAAAAAAAAAAGAGTGTCTTTTGGGAATTTTTGTGGGGTATTTCTGGTCTAGATTAGAAAATTTTAAATAATGACACAATTGTAGCAAGCAGCAATATAAGGTAGGTGGAATTGGATCACCTACAAATCCTTGTGTCATTTGGCTAACTTAAAAAATAAGAAAACCAGTAACAAACATTACTGAAGATAACTTTTTGTGCAGCCCTGGCCTACTGGTACCATTTCGGAGAGCAGGCATGCCTCTTTAAACTGTACATTGCTCTTTAAAATCACCAAATAAATAGCATCTGGCAGGCTGCGAGGTTAACCCCTCCTTGAAGGCCATGACGTAGCAGAGAGCGGCGTTAGCACCTTTGCAGGTGTCGCTGCTTGGCCCCAAAGAGCTTCCTGTGAGGTGAGGTTAATATGGAAACAATACAGTTGATTGCTGTGAATATGATCTTCACACTTGAAAGCGCTAGAAGCACGGCTGTGATTCCAAACGAGGGTTGCTCGAGCAAGAGCAGACATTTAGAAGAGGCAAAGAGCCAGATGTGCGGTACTGAATACTGGTGTTACACACAGCTGTATTTTCCCGTTACTTTTTCTTCAGGAAATGGGAAAAATTGCCAAATGATATGGTAAGACTGGGATTTTCTGCTGCTCCCAGCTGTTATTCTAGTCAAGTAGGATGCAGATAATCACCACTGCTCCATTCCTGGTCGAATAGATAGTGTTGGGGAGATAGGTTAACATGTTTTGTCACTTCAGCCACTGCTGTTGAAGATAACTTCTTGGAGTTTGGAGGTTTTTGGCAGTCTGTTTTAGCAAGAGTGCTCAGACCGAGTGCTTCAACAGTTTTGTACCTCAGGCCATAGTTTTCTAGTGGGAAGGTTGTTGGTGAGACTGGTTTCTTCCCCAGCTCTCTGTTGTGCTAATAGAACCACGCAGTGGGTTGCACTGTGAACTGCTTGGAGGAGTAGACTGTGGTTGAAAGTGGCCAATAACTAGGAAAAGGCTTATTTTTCACTGTAATCAGTGGCCTGAGCTGCATCTTCCACAAGAACAGTCTTTTTGGAGCACTCCCTCCATGCATCGGCCCGATTGTTGGCTGTTTTTAAGGTACAACCTTGGGAGGAATTGCAGGTGGAAATAGGGTTGCATTTGCCATAGGAGTGATCAGCACATGCAGAGCCTCTCCAGCACTGGCTCCACTTTGCGGCTGATCCTGGTACCTCAGCTTCACTGCGTGTGGCAAGCAGCTGTTTGCAACATTTATCAGAGCTACAGCTTTGAACAGGTGTGACAGGTAGAAACCAGAGGAAAACCTCCCTTTTCCTCTTGTGAAGATTTCTGCAGGAGGAAATGAAAGGATCTCGTGTCGTAGGGCATCTTAGCACCTTCTAACTGTGCGTGTCCAATAAACATCCAAGGGATGTGACAGGATTTCCTCAGTGTACACTGCAGAACTGAAGGTTCCACTGGCTTTTGACAAGCCAGGCAGGTTTATCTAAAATTTCAGAGAGAACCTTTGTATATTTTCACCCAGTCTCTCTTTTCCTTTGCAGAAGCTGCTGGTTTACTGTTTAGGCTACACGGAAACTCTGTGCTATGAAGGTACCTCCATAGAGATTTTCCTCTTTCCAACATCTTGCCTTGATAGAAAGGATAGCTGGAAGATGCAATCCTGACTTGCTTCTAGTATTTTTTACCCCTGGCTGGAGCAAGTCTGATTAACAAGGTTTTAAAAAGTAGTATCTAGTAGTCTGTAGCTACTTTCCTGCCTTTGGCGCCAGGAGATCATCTAGAGAGAGAGAGAGAAGCAGGGGCAGAAAGAGACAGAGAGAGGTGCACAACGTGGTTCATTCAACCAAGAAACCAAGAAACCGTCTTCAAAGCCACTCTTCCTTGTGAAGCCTTGTGCAGCAGAGGTGGGCTTGCTTTGTGGTGGCCGTGCTGAGCCCCAGCTAGCCAGCTTGTCCCTCAGCAGGACTTTTGATCGCTCAGCTCTGTGCTTTCTCTTGGCAGAGAGCTTCCTCTTGGCTCCCAGTGTGGGAAGGATGATCCTGCAAGTGCCGTGTGGGCATGCCACCCCTCGGCAATCCTCTGTGCTGTGGTTAAGGCAGCATCCACTGAGGCAAGATGCTCTCCTACTCCCTTTGGCAGGTATATTTTGAGATTGAAGGACATCTTTCACAGAGCGTTGGTTTGCTTCTTCCAGTCTCCTTGAAGTTCTGGGCAGAACTGTATCTCATTCTGACCTGCTGTGTCCTCTCTGCTGTCCCCGCTGTGAACTGGCCATGTGAACATGTTTGGCAGGCGGTGACTAATCACCTCCCCTTTTCAGGGTGGCATGGAATGAGTCTTTGCCTGCAAGCACCTGCAGCAGCCTGGTCTTTCCACTGTGAATAGGTGCAGTTATGCACATATGCACTGTAGGGAGAAGTCCTCTGAGAATCCACACAGCTTTCAAAATCTTTGCTGCTTGAGCTCTCTACCTCTACCCAGCTTTCCAGGATGTCCTCAAGTCTAACCGTTGGTCTGACTTTCTTTTCTGCTTAGCTTGAAGTGAAGGTGGTCACTACTGAGAGAGCAAAACATTTCTACAATGCCCAGGAGATTCCTGTCACCCTCTACAGCGATGAAGATGAATGGCAGGTGAGTTGTTCTTTCTTTGGAGACTGGGAGGCTTCTGTCCTGTCCCCACTAGCCACGTATTTTATAATTCAAGTAGTTCTGTCGTATGCTCCTGCCTTCCACTTCCAGAAGGCCAGTGGGTCATGCTTCAGAAAAAAAGCAGGCCCCTTGGGAGATTCACTTAGTTGTTCAAGTGCTGAACGGCAAATAGAAGTGTTCCTCTAAGTTTCTTTGCAAGAGACCACATTAGCTTATTTATTTTTTTAATCCTGGGCCAAGACTCCCTTTGTTTCTTTATTCTAGTAATGTATGCTTTGGAACATGGCTTACGTGGTTCCAACCATGGTGCTGTAAATGAGGATGAAAAGAAAGGCTGTCCTGGCTGTACCGCTGGGTTTTGTACTGCGCTGGCAGACTTGCAGCAGGCGGTGAGGGTAGAAGTGGTCTCTCACCACCCTGGGCTCAGCCACTATCGACAGCTCTGAGAGAGCAATCAGGAAACGTCAAGAAAGCCACTGCAGAGTCGCGGTGAAGTTGTTGGGTGCTTGTTGCGAGTCATACTTGGCACGAAGGCAACAGCTTAATTCTCCTTAGCACTACATATTCTGAATCTACAGACATTGCTGACATTCACAAAGCTGCCCACACTGCTTTAAAACTCACCTGGTGTCTGACTGGGTCACCTTGGGCACCGCCTGGTCTGTATTACAGCTTCTTCCTCTGTGTTTTCAGAGCCTGCCTGCCCCTCAAGTGAAAAACAAAGCTCTTGTGTGAAGTACTAAGGCCTGAACAATAGGCCCTGAACCAAAGTAGACCTCTAGATGAACCTCACAACCAAATGTTACATGACATTATTGTCTGATCATTAGTGAAATATGTATGCTCATTAGTGAAATATGTGGTATAGAGGAAGTGTCATGCGAATGTATTTATCTTTTCTTATTTAAGGGTATGTTGTCAAGGCCATGAAACCAGGTGTCAGGCCTTGTTTGGAAGTATGTGGTCAAAGCTGAGTAGATAAAGAAACTCCCTTGGTTCTTCCTTGAGCCCTGGCCAGGCTTTGGGTGGAATCCAAAAGGAGAATGATACCAAAACAGGAGCTTCCTGGACGTGTCCCGGATCCTGGCCAGAGCTGCCCGAGTGAAGTGAAGCCAACCCACCAGATGTTACCATGCCTTTCTCTACTTAATTTGTTTGTTAGATTGTATAAAAGCAGGACCCTCTCACAGCGAAGATGGAGACCTTGCCTACGAGTGGACACACTGTGTAGGACTTCCCAGTTACCAGGAGAGATTCTGGCCAGGTCCTGGCAATGGCCAGGAAGCTTTCTGGCTGCTCAAGGAGATCAGTGGAGATCTGCTGGGTCACAGGGTGCTACAGCTCCAGGCAGTTATTTCTGAGGAGGCCTCAGTGTGGTGAAAGAAGCGGAGCGTGTCAGGCTTTGAGGTTTGTTGGCCCACTGGAAAGCAGGCATGGAGACCTTACAACATGCTGTTCTGAGAGAAGGGTGGGAAATAAGGCTCTCTCTCTCTTTGTGAGAGATTTTACTCTGAAAAGAAAAACGACAATTTTCAGTGCTTCTAGGAAAAATAGAAGTGAGTGGAGGAGCTGGGAAAGGTGTCAGGAAGCACCAGCTTTCCGGATGTTACTTTTTTGTTGTGGTTTCCAGTGACTCAGAGGAGGAACAGTTTGTGGCCCTGATGTACCTCTTGCTGGCCTGTGGTTGTGTGTGTTCTCTGGGGATTAAGCACCTGATGCTCTTTGCAGTTTCTCTTGACACTTTCCCAGTTAACTGCACTCTTAAGAATTCTTAAGACCAGGACTCTTGAGCAGCTCAGAACTTTAGTGAAAATAGAAATATTCATTGAGAGCCATGAGAAGAGGGAAATACCTGGTTGGCTAAACCTCATCCATCATGGAGAAAGCTGACAGGACTGTTCCCTGCTGTAGTCACAAGGGTTTACTTTGCTGCTGTGAATATGCCTAGGGGTGTACATCCTCATTGAAAAGACACTTGTGCAGTTAGGGTGTCTGTAACTCCTTAAAAGCCAGAGAACAGCTTCACTTTAAAGAAATGCAAAGTTTCTAAATCACATGGGTTCCTCAGGAAACGTGACCCCTGCTTTGGTCCTGTCTGCTTTTAGTTGGCTGATAGGATGGAGCTTTTTTCTCTGTTGAGATATGCTACATGTTGAGGGAGCTCTTACAAACAATTCTGAAGCTGAAGGCTGATGTGAATGGGAAGTGGATGGAGAAAGCTCTTTCCTGTGAGTTAAAATCTGTGGCTGTTGGATGTGGGCATTGCTGTCTTTGTGGGGAAAGGATACCTGTTTGTAGAGCACCAAGCAGATACATGTCATCCGTTAAATGTGCTTCCCAAACGTAGTGGCAACATGGCTTTCCCTGGAGGAGCAGTGAAGTCACAAATGTGAGCACCGTGGCTGCAGTCCCTGACTCTCCACGCTGTCAGGTCTTGCTTGATGTGAGAATAATTTGTTCCACTTAAATTTACATGGTATTTACTAATGTGGGATTGATAAAGTGCCCGTTGTTCACAGTGTTCATGGGAAGGGTTTGCTCAACTGCATCTTGTTTCATCCGCAGCTGTGGAAAGGTCGTTCAGACCCAGTCCTGCACATTGAGCTCAGACGGTGGGCTGACCTCATGTTGGTGGCACCTCTTGATGCAAACACGTTGGCAAAGCTCGCGAATGGCATCTGTGACAACCTGCTGGTGAGTAACCAGAGCTCTGCCTGAGAGTTCTCTCACCTCCCAGCCTTAGACTGTCTGACCTTTCTCTGATGGAAACTTTTGTGCTTCTGCAGCATCGAGAAGAGATGATATTGAGTGAGATTTGCATGTTTTGCTCCCACTTCTTATGCTTGTCTCTCTCTTCCTCCAACATGGTTCCTCTATTTCTTCTCAAGCAGCTGTTCTTTCCTTCCCTGACCTACATCCCTTCCCATTCCTCAGCTCTGTCAGTCTCTTCCATTATTTCCCAGTCCCTGCTTTGTGCCTTTCCTGCTTTTTCTGACGGGTGGTATTTCTCTCTTTCTACCTGCACCCTCTCTCCGTCACACATGTACACTCACACACGTGCATGTACACACTTGCACTCACTTTTTAGTTCCTCTCTGCATTTTTTAGATGCAATCTGGAAGGACACCTGTGAGATCAGATAAAATTGTTTACTTCCTGCTACCTCACCTCCTCCCTCACCTAACTGCCTAGCACAGAAATTCAAACATGCTCACACTTACTTACCTTCCAGTTTCAACTACAGGGGGATTTTGCTTGTTCAGGCTTGTTTTTCTGGTATTAAAGGTGCTCTGATTCAAGGGCTGATCAGAAAGTGTGTTAAAAGAGAGTGTGCTTCTCTGTTGGGTGATGGGGGCCTTCAGTGGGGCAACAGCCCTCGTTTGTGTGAGCAGATCACTGGAGATCTGAGAGAAGCCAGATAAAGCTGTGGGAGGGACAAGTGGTGCCTTGTCCTTCTGGCTCTCCTTGGTGCTATAGATGTGATGGTGGGAGTGGAGGGAGCAGCTCAGGAAGGATGTTAGGGACTCATGGCTTCACAAATTCCTACCAGTCTTTTCAGAGAGCCTTGTGGAGGTAAGAGGCAAATACAGCAATAGAAAGAAAGTGCTGGAGATGCTGTTTGGCAAGTTGGAACAGATTCTAGCAGACTTTCCTGTGCTGGGAAGGGTTCAAATCACAGGGCAACGGATGGGCAGGGTTCTCGTAAGCACTCTATGATCTGGGCAGAGACCCTGCTCCAGGGACTGTTGCTACCTGAGAAGCTCCCTTTGTGTGATTTAATTGCTGCTAGGTCTAGGAAAACTGATGGACATTGCATTAAGGGTGCCCAGCATTTATCTTTTTAAGGAGGTGAGGTGATACTGGGTTATCTGGAAGCTCTGTATCACTGAGGAGTCAGATATGATTCTCTTTAGCACGCAGGAGCTGCTAGATGGTTTGTAATCTGCCGGCATCTTCTGCCACAGCCCACGCGTGTCCATGTTATCCTCTGTTTATATCCTGGAAGCAGAAGTGCTTCCCTTGGGAGGAGTTACAGATCCAGTTGGCGCATCATTTAAAAAAGTCTCATGTGCCAACTTTTTATGTGTAGCTCTACAGCTGGCTTATCGGAAGTGCTGCCTGGGGATTTCTCTTTAGCTGATATGATCTGTGGCCACCCCTCAGCCTCTCGCAGTCTCCCTCATGGGCTGGCAGTCTGTACATATGGTATTCCAGCTTGGTTTGCTCCAGCGATTGGGCTGCTTGCTTGGCCCCAAGCCGGAGTAGGATGGGATCTATCCTCGTTGTAGCCTCCCTCATACTTCTTACCTGTCAGAGCTGAGCTTTGCTGGAATGTCAGACACATTAGGAGCAGCACTGTGGATCTGCCTGTGAGTTAGTCCAGCCGCACTGACATATTGTGGCTTTTGGCCCTCTAATGACACCCAGGCTGAGAAAGCATTTCTGTGCAGCAGGGTGATGAGAAGGAGTGAGGAAAAACAACCCAGCTCAGAGCTGAATCTCTTGGCTTCTCTTGCAGACTTGTGTCATCCGTGCTTGGGATCTGAGCAAACCTCTGCTCTTCTGCCCAGCTATGAACACGGCCATGTGGGAACATCCCATCACAGCTCAGCAGGTGGAGCAGCTGAAAGGCTTTGGCTACACAGAGATCCCCTGTGTGGTGAAGAAGCTAGTGTGTGGAGATGAAGGTCAGTCCTTTTACATGGCTTCTGACTGTTTTCCTGCACGAATGCTGCTCTTATCCTGAAGGGACATGCATTCTTTTGCCGTGTGGCCTTCAAGATGTTGGACTGCAGGGAGCAGGTGCTCCCTGCCAGGATTTATACAGACAAACTGAAGCTTTGCCCTGTGCTAGCTCGTATCTATTGTTCTTGTTCATCAATTTTTAAGCGAGAGACCTTATGAGACCATGTCTTAAGCTCTCTTAAAAGACTGAAGCCAGGCTTTCAAATGAGCCATTAGATAGGCCTGATATTTAGAAGAAATATGCATTCAAGAAGAGAATAGATCAAAGAGAAGGAAGGCTTTGCGGTGAGCGTTATCAGCCTGGGATTTGGGTGTCCTGATCTTGCCCTCTGCTATGACTGTGAACTGTTTACCTCATGCCTCAGTTCCTCATCTTTAACATAGGGATAATATCTTATCCCCAAGAGCAGACAGTGAGAAATAAGTGCTTTGCAGATGTGGCTGAGGGTGTAGCTGGATATGCCTTTAACATTTGTTGTTGTTTGTTGCCCGGGTTATTTTTCAGCTTCCCAGTTGAGTTTTGATTTGGGGTTTTGATGTCAGACTTGTCTGTGAAGTGAAGAAGGGCGGTAGGGCAAGTTGTCACGCACAGTTTCAAAAGACGTAACTTGCAGTGCTAAAAATGCTACTAGTATAGTCTCTTTGGTACTTTAGGTGCTTTTTTAAATGGAGGTATTTTGACTTTTAGGAGGTTTTGAGAAGGGTTTTTATACAAGCAATGTGGATGAATGGATCTGCTTTTTTATCTACATTTTCTTGGACAAATTTTCTGTAAAATGTCACCCAGTTCTAGCCATAATAGCAAATATGTTACTACCTACACAGCAGTGTACTCATACTTTTGTTTAACAGACCCAGCTCTAGCGGGGTTTTAACCACTCTGTCAGATAGTTCAACAAACAATCTACAGCAAAGACAGGATGTTATGAAGTTCTTCATGGTTAAGTTCTAGGGCTGGCTTAGTTTCTGAACTCTTAGGTAGGTGCAGTGCTTCTAGAGAGTGTTTTTTGGAGCTGAAGGGTAAGAAATATTTACAGTTAGGTAAGTGTAGTCAAGTAACTCGGGCATCAGTTGAAATATCCTGGACAATTACGCTTCCGCTGGGATTTTAGACCCGATTACATAAAATTTCTTACGTACTTGTGATCATGTTAAGGGAAAACGCCCAAAAGAGGTCATTCTGTGGAGGCATTTTGGCAGAAGTGGAAAGACCATCTGGCATAGCTTCTTTGTCCTTTATTTTTTAGTACATATATAGGATCTCTGTTCCTGTAGTAAGCAGCTGAGTGCCTCCTCCTGGGTAACGTGCTCATTCTCACTGGTTCCTGCACCTGAGGCAGAGCTGTGGTGTTGTCATCCCTGTTTCACAGATGGGGATCTGAGATACACAAGGGCCGCGTGAGTTGACTCACCAGCACAAATGGAGTTGAGTTGGATGGTGAAGGCAGTTTCCACCTTCTGCTGCTCTGCCCTGCCTCTTTCCTGGGGATTGCCACCCTTGTGACAGGAATGTGCGAACCACGTGAGAAGCAGCATGTGAATTGCTGTGGGTTGTAGCTCAGAATGACAAAGGGAACCAGCATTGATCGGGAGTTACCTCATTACAGCAGCAGTCCTTTGGGACCTGCTTCATATTCAGTTCTGCTCTCTTTACTGCGAGAAAAAACTCCTGAAGGAGCCTGTAGGAGAGGGATGGTACAGACAGCTGGGGCAGCAGTACCCAAATCTGACCCAATTCCACTTGTGTTTGTGAGTCAATTCACAAGATTTTCCCATTGGCAAACACGAGTATTTTCCTGGCAGTATGTAAGAAAATCATGGCAAAGCAGTTGTCGTTGTTTAACCCCAGCCAGCAATTAAGCACCGCACAGCCACTCACTCACTGCCCTGCAGCGGGATGGGGGGAGATAATTGCAAGGGTAAAAGTGAGGAAACTCATGAGTTGAGATAAAGACAGTTTAATAATTGAAATAAAATAATAATAATATTGTAATGAAAAGGAAAATAGCAAAGAGAAATAAAACCCAAGAAAGACAAGTGATGTAAGTGAAAACAATAGCTCACCAGCAACCAACTGATGCCAGCCAGTCTCTGAACAATGGTTCCCCTGCCAACCTTTCCCCTATTTTCATTGCTGAGCATGACATGGTGTGGAATATCCCTTTGGGCAGCTGTCCTGGCTGTGTCCCCTCCCAACTTCTTGTGCACCCCCAAGCCTACTCTCTGGTGGGGTGGGGTGAGAAGCAGAGGAGGCCTTGACTCTGTGTAAGCACTGCTCAGGAATAATGAAAACATCCCTGTGTTATCAACAGGGTTTCCAGCACAACTCCAAAACACAGCCCCATACCAGCTACTGTAAAGAAAATTAACTCCAGCCCAGCCAAAACCAGCACAGCAGTAATAGACTCCAGGTCTCTGAAGACCCAAGACAGTCTCCACCACTGAATTTTTCCTTTCTTCCCCTATTTTCTTCAGGCCTTTCACCCTAAGGCCCTTTCTTCCACACTAATTTCAGTTGTGTGGGTTTCATCCACAAAGGGGTTTGCCCAGCTGTCACCCAAGGAGCAGGTAGCAAAGCTCACACACCTGGTGCAAAAGAAAAGAGATTCAGTTTGCACCAGTTTTGTCTGTTGACATTGTGGTTTATCTTGCTGTAAAAGAGGTTTATCTTCCTCCACTCATGTGGCTGGTCTCACCTGAAATGGGCCGGATCCTGACTGCCACCGAGCTTCTGCATTACAAGCTTTACCTGATTAATTTTTCTTCCTTAGTAAATAGATGTTTTTAGACATAGAGTCCAGCTAAAAAGAGAGTTAAAATAACATTAAATTGAGTTGACAATTAAAATGTTTCCTTGGTTGGATAGCTAAATGTAAGCTTGGAAGGGACCTCGAAAGATCATCTAGTCTCTTGATGATATCCATGTGCCACGATATAAAGAGAGCTTTGGGAAGTGCTGCATCATGCACGGGCCTGCTGCAATTTGCCATTGCAAAACCATTTCCAAACTGCTGATATCTTCGTTGTCCTTGGCTGGATTTCTAGAGCCTGGCACACTGGAAGACTTCTTCTACCTGTAGGCATGAGCTGTGCTGTAAGACAGGCTGCTTAGCAAGATTTTGCTCTGCTAAACCTAAAAATCCAGCTGTGAATTGCCAAAGATGTTGAGGAAGTGGGTGGTGGAGGACAAAGGCAAGCCTTGGAAACGTTCTTGAAGGGTGTAGCTCTGCCAAACTGTGCAGAGGCAGTCAGGGAATTTCTCTTGTTTAGCAGGACCTGTCAGCTGCAGCTCCTCTCCTCAAGGTTAGGAGAACAGAAAGACTCAAATCTACCTGCAGCTTGTCCATAGGATGCCTCAGACCCCCTGGGATTTACAGGTCTGAAAAAGGCATGATGGCGAATGAGTCCTACTTGGTAGGGAAACCCAATTTTCTTGACCTTCCAAAAGTATCATTCTTCATTGCAAATCCTCAGTTCTATTCAGTTATACCTTCTGTCCCGGACAAGGCTTGGGTGACTCATCTGTACTGGAAAACTGAGGGTCTGGGCAGGTTCAGAGCTGTGATCTGCCCACAGAGAGCAACTCTACCTGCTCGTCAGGACAGCCTGTCCCCTTCCCCTTCATCTCTTGCCTGCCCTCAAGTCCTTACTGTCCTTTGCAGCCTCAGTTTTTTTTCAGTCTTCTAATGGAGACAAATGCTGGTGGGAGAAGTATCTTTCCTCAGCCCTGAGGGAATTAGAGGAGTGAATGGACTGAGTTCTGAGCGTTGAGTTCAGTACAGGAAGTTAGACAAGATGATTTAATAATCTCTAGTCTTAAAATTCTGACCCTAAGTTTAAAAGTATTTCAGAAGGAAGCCGCTGCACAGTCTAGATTAGATTTTTGTCTGGCAGCTAACTGGTCCAAAAGGAAAAGCTTTTACATTTTGTTCTGTCCAACACTTGTTCTTCTCCAAGAATTACTCCCAAGATTCAAGCTGGTGTGAATCCAGGACAGCTCGCTTTCATGTGGGTCTAACTGCAGAGTCATGGGAATGGTATGAATTTGGCAAATCTTTTTTATAGGCAAAGGCTATTTCAAAAAAGGTACTGAACACACACACTGGAGAAAGGAGGTGAAATAGGATATTTTGCTATGCCCACCCTTTTTGGGGCACTTTTGCACCCTTGCCTTCAGGGCAGTGTGAGCTAAGATAGTAATTCCCTGCTCGGTGAAGGGTTAGATGCAGACACCTCTGGAGATGATTCAGAACATGAGGTACTTATTAAGGTCATATGAGTTGCCTTCAGTTGCCTTAAGTTCAACAAGGCCAAGTGCTGGGTCCTGC